TGTACACCTCAAACTAATAAAAAATAAATAAATAAAAAAGGCTCCTAGAGAACAGATACAAGGCCTGACAAGTACGTTTGCCAACTTGCCACCATGTGCTTACATTGGCAGCACTGCACAAGCAGCTCAGTAAGGTTTCATAACCTTGGTATATCAGTGTCTCACAGCTGTGTTCATGCCAACATGTGGTGGTCTTGCTGAGTGGCGTTCATTATCATTGTTGAGTGTTTTTGTGTGCTATCACGAGAATGTCTGAGCTTGAATTAGAGCAACGAACAATCATTAAATTTCTTGGTAAACTTGGCAAGAGTGGAAGTGAAATCAGGGACATGTTAGTCCAAGTTCATGGGGATAATGCCATGAAGAAAATGGCAGTGTACAAATGGATTAAACGTTTTTCTGAGGGGAGAGAATGTTTCGCCAATGAAGAGAGGTCAGGGCGGCCAGTAACAAGCAAACTGATGAAAACATTGCAAAACTTCATCGAATTGTTCATCAAAATCATTGGCTGACTGTGAGACGCATAGCAGACCAAGTAAATGTCGATAGAGAAACAGGAAAATCTTAACTGAAAATATTGGCATGAGAAAGGTGTGTGCAAAAATGGTCCCAAAGGAGCTCTTGCATCATCACAATGCACCAGCTTACACGGCACTGTCTGTGAGGGAGTTTTTGGCCAGTAAACAAACAACTGTATTGGAACACTCTCCGTACTCACCTGATATGGCCCCCAATGACTTCTTTCTTTACATGAAGATAAAAGAAATATTGAAAGGAAGACATTTTGATACATTCAGGACATCAACGGTAAGACGATGACAGCTCTGATGGCCATTCCAGAAAAGAAGTTCCAAAATTGCTTTGAAGGATGGACTAGGTGCTGATGTCAGTGTATAGTTTCCCAAGAGGAGTACTTCGAAGGCAACCACGGTGATATTTAGCAATAAGGTATGTAGCACTTTTTCTAGGATGAATTCAAGAACTTAATTGTCGGGACTTCATACATGAAGGAACAGGTGGGATAATCCTGGCCATCTTCCTCAGCTTTAGGAAGAGCTGGAGCTGAGCTGGAGCTGAGCTGGAGGTGAGGCCTTCAAACCCTAAATTCCCAAAGGTTGAAACATTTTTTAAAATTTTATATGTTTTATCATAGGGATATCCCGAACTTGAGGTAACATTGTAGATATTGATCTTGATGGCTAAAAAATATAAAAGGAAGTCTAAATTAAGAGAGAATTTGGGGCGAGTCTGACCATTTTTAGTAAATGAACTATCAGGTAAATATTAAGCACCAGCTATCACCAAACAATTAAACGTTATTGATCAAGGCACTCTTTTATGTATGGGGCAAACAAAGATGTATCAGGTATGGTTGCTCTTCTCCTCAATAAGCCTTCAAGTTGGTAACGAATATAAGACTTGGCACATGAATATAAACCCAAGCTGGAATGTGATGTGCTGGAGACACCATTGCCACAGTGGTTCAGAGGGAGAACTGCTTTAACTGGACAAGATAGCCACAGAAAGCTCTGTGTAAGACTGGATTCATGACTTTGTTATTTAGAATAGCTCCCTAAGCAGAAGACTTTTAAGATAGAAAGAAAGTCAGGGAAATTTTAGGTTATCACAGAACTGAGAAGGGATGGGCATCCCAGAAAGGAGTGAGGAATGAATGAGCAAGTATTTGAAATGAAAAGACAACAAGATAGGAAACTGAGAGACTGCTGTGGGGAAAATATGTTGAGGCTGCCAAAATTGTCGTGAAAGAAACCTGAGCTTGATGTCCAGTTTGAGTCCTGGTTTTATTCCTCACCTGTCTGACCTTAACAAATCACTTAACCTCTAGAAGCCTTGGGTTTCTCTCCCATAAAATCAATATAGAAAGATCTTGCTCATAGACATTTTTATAAGACTAAAATGAATTAATGCTTTTGCAAAACATAAGCTGTTACATAAATCTCAGGTGTTATATTTCATCTTTTATTTTTCAAGTTAGCTCTGCAAGTCAAAATTGAATTGTTTATGGAGGCTATCAACCACCCTGTACCTGATATCAGTCTCTTGGATTCCAATGTTCCAATGTTTCTCTTATATGAAAAGACATGTGGATTTTAGGATAACACAAAATTGATATGTTAACAGTGTGACTCAAAAGCTGATGCTATGTTAGGCTCCCTTAACAGAAAGAACATTCCAGACCCGAAATAGTTAATTATCCCATTGTATGTAGAATCGGTCAGACCAAATCTAAAGTCTTGGCCTCCACTGATATCTAGTGTTTTCACCTGAAGTTTCTGGAAACTGCCATTTGAAGAGCAGTGGAAAGAACTGAGAATGTTTAGACTGAAGAGAGCAACTGGAATGTGGAAAGTTAAAAGTTTTGAAGGTTTTTTTGTAGGCATTGGGGGCTCTTCTGAGTTTTTGAGAGGGGAAAGTGACATGGAGAAGTAATTCTTCATGAAATTTGGCTCTGTGATTGGGTCGGTAGGATGACTCTGTTACTAAGAAGCAGAGAGAGCAATGAGGATGTTACTGAGTTAGTACAGAGTGACCCATAAGTGACCTGAATCTGTGTCCATCAGTACTGAGGCATGCAGGGGAAAAGGAATGATTAGAATAAGGAGTTAGGCCAGAAATACTACTTCAAAATGAACTTAAAGTAGTGTTTTATAGAGAGTGAGAGACACTGAATTGGCTGACAAGAGGGGAACATTTCAAGATGGCAGAATGGCACAGCAAAGGAGAGGCTAGTAAGCAAATGGTATGTGGGAAGAGGAGAGAGATGCGAATCATCTATTTAGAGTAAACTGAATGAGGTTTTTGAGAAGGGGGAGTAGTGGAAGATCTTAAATTTGGTACCGAGAGGAAGAAAACCCTGTGCTTCCTGATGCACATAATCTCATCTGCCCCAGATTGGTAGAGAAGAGCTAAAAGAGGCTACCTCCAGGTGTTGTTTAGCCTGATTCTTCTGCAAAACATGTGGACATAGGGGAGATCACTTCCATTTCTATGCTCTCCCTATTTCTCCTTCTTTCAGGAAGTCTTGCAGGAAGTCCTTGAAGACAAACACAAACAATAAAAATTTAGATAGGTGAGTTTCCCTTAAATTGTGCCCATGCATTTCAGCAAGCCTTCAGATTGGCTTAGAACGAGAGCAGCGGTTTTAAAACTGGGGGTGATTTCCAACCTCCCACTTCCCAATAGGGCAAATTTGCTATTCTTGAAGACATTTTTGGTTGTCACTACTGGGGCAAGGGGTGCTATTGGCATAAAGTGAGTAGAGCAAGGGATGCTGCTAAACACCTTACAAAGCACAGAATGACACCCTAAAGCAAATAATTATTCAGCCCCAAATGTTCATACCATTATACTAAGGATGAGAAACCTGAACCTAGAAGGGTAAGGCTGGGCAGTCTGTATTAGGGGCATCCTTGAGCCCAGCAGACATTTGTATCCTACCCATAGGATGAGTTGTTCATAGCAAAGAGTCTCTAGTGACTTCCCTGAGCTTTGATGTTTTTTATGCTGAAGGTTGGGAAAATCAACAGGTGTTGGTTTTCCAATTTTCTTTGCTCAGCGTACATGATTTTTACTCCAGGAAAGGTTGGTACTCCTTCATGGTGATTATCGCCTTAGCTCTAGCCTATCAGCTCCTCTTCATTTGATTTTAGAGATTGAGGGTAGCATTTGTGTAAGGTCAAAAATTTAAACTCATAGGGAAAAATATCCTAGATATCTCTTTTTTCTTCAACCACTCCTGATCTTTCATTCAAATATGTGTTCTGAAAAATTGACACTTGGTAAAATCACCTGTGGCCATGTAGTTTCTCAACTTCATTAGTACATCTTACACTCCTCCAAGAAAATGAATCTTGCTCCCCCACAAATCTAATCATTTATGACTTTCTTCCAATTCCAAGTTAAAAATGAGAATATCACTTTGTATCAGAAATGTTTTCATATTAGTTAGCAAGTCTCAGTGTCTCCAAGAAAATATTATGAAGTTAGGGGGAAAATAAAAGGATTAAATTGGAATGTGTCTTCAGGGGAGTGGTTTCTTATCTTTGTAACTCCAGTGCCTAGTAGAGTGTCAGGCACATAGTAAGTGTCCAGGAAATGTCTGTCCAGTGAATGAACAGAACTTGCTGAGCCAAGTAAAGGAGACCCTAAAATTTCCATTGACTTCCAAAAATGAGAATAGCCTAAAATCTTGGAGAGATGGTAAACCATACTAATAGAGTTTGGGCTTCCAGGATAATAGTACGATAGCACTTACTGTTGTGTAGGCATCTACGGATTCCTGCAGTGGTCACAATCACAATCACAGTTAAGATAATGAGTAACGGAATGAGGCCATACCAGGGCAGTTTAAGGAAAGAAGGGGATGGCTTGTCTGTGGGGGGAAAAAAAGAGGTGTCAGCTCTAATGTGTCTCCAACTGCCTGATACCCATTGTATGCTTCTTATATTGACACAACTGTAAAGAGTCTTTTTCACTTCTTTTCCTGGTCAGCTCTTCAATATGCAGCTGATAGCATTTTCTTGCATAACTCTTCAATCAGACACATACTTGAGGGAAACCAATATCCAGTTATCAGATACCGAATGAGAAAAACAAATTTTGGACTTTTGCATTTACTATGTTGGCATAAAAAGGACTCTAAGGAGATACTTTAAACACCATCCTGTCTTCATATTCTCATTTTATAGCTGATATTACAATATATTACTACTAATATCAGTTGATGTTGTGCTCTAGAAATACCTTATTTTTCCTTATCCAGTTATGTCATGCCTTCTTTTTACTTAGCATATTCTCTTAACATACACTCATACAAACACACCCCTCTAATAGTAGCTGCCTAAAGCTGCAGGAGCCGTTTTGCATTCATTTTCAGATACACATACTTCACCACCCAGCCTAGAGTTTCTGGAAGGGTAGAAGAGGCCCAGCAAAGAACTAAGAGTGGATGTGGCTTGGTATTAGGTGGGATCATCCTGGAGGAGAGCTCTGCAAACTGGCTGCAAACAGGGAAGAGAGAGAGCTCGGGGACATAGGAAGGATTAGGCGGGGAGTAGACAGCTGTGTGGGGAACTGCTCTCTGTCTCTCCTGCTCAGGAACAGCATTTATTCTTCAACCTCTTTGAGGAATAGTTAGCAACAACATCTGGAGAAAGGACAGGAACACAAACGAAAAGGAATATTAGTAGCTCATCCTATTCTGATTTCTCTGGACTACCTTACAATAAATATTGAACACTCACTAACATTGTTTTTCATTTTTCTGATTACCAAGCCTTGTGGATAAATTTTGAAAGTTGAAACATTCTCCTCCTTGGACTTCTATGACACCACATTCTTCTGTTTCTGTTTGTAGTAACTCAGTTTTCTTTCTAGACTCTTCTTCCTCTTCTTATCTTTTAAATATTCTTGTTCCCCATGGTTCCATCAATCATCCCACTCTTTTCTCACTAGTGCCAGTCCTCCTGGGTGATCTCATCCACACCCAAGGCTTGAAACACCATCTGATTTCTAACTCTGTATATCATATTTCTGATCTCATTTCTGAGCTCCAGATTTGTATTTCCAGCTGCCGACTAGAACGTTGGATGCCAGCATTTCCACTTGCTTAAAATTGAACTCACGATACTCATTCCAAAGCATATCTACCACTTACATTCTCACATTTTGGTGAACGGCAATACCATTAGTTATCCAAATAAGACTGAAGGCTTGTGTTTGTGCCCATTAGGCTCCCACGGACTTTCTAGTCCATAGTCAGAATATCCCTGCAATTGATTCCTTTCCCCTAAATCAGCAGCTGCCTTAGTTCAGGTTTTTTTTTTCATCTCTTACCTAGTAGCCTCCATATTGGTCTCTTTGCCTCTGGTTTCCTAGGCTCTAATAATTCCTACACATTTTGCTATAGCACCCATTCTAAAATGCAATCTTGTCATAGTGCACCGACCACTTAGACACTGGGGAAAGTTGTTTTTTTTTCTTTTTCTCTAAAACACCAGATTACATGGAGACATCAAGTAATTACCAGTGTTGGCATCTATAGACCAGAATGACACCCCAAATAACAAAGAAGCTAGAAGTTTCACAGGTTCCCACTCACTGCTGGCTTCCTCTGAGAGGCCACTCCCATTCATCCTCAAGCCTCACTCAGCCTAGAGAGAGGATGTGTATTTAAGGGAAAGAAGAAGGAACTAGGAAGAGCAAACTGGCTCTGTCATAATGCATATTAGGAGCCGTGTAACGTGCCACAGAGAAGACCCAGAATCCTAATGCATAGTTATATGAGGACATCAGCACATACAGCTTCTTAGACACCATGAGTGGGACTCCCTGATTTACAGCTTTCCACACACATATATGCCTTACAGCACATCAAGCGTTAGCAAATTTGGCAGGTCTAGACTGAAAGAATCATAGATCAATCTATTAATAAATTTGGGGTTCTTTTTAGAGTGGGTATTTATATAGTAAAGTTTTACTTACACTGACTTGTAACATTTCTATAAACTATACACCTAATTTATGTTTGCTTAAGCAGTCAGCCCTTGACCACCCACAACTGCCTTATTTGCTTTGATTCTAAATTCTAAATGTGCCTGTAGTCCAATTAATGAGATTTGAAGTATTTATACACTAAAGCTCTCCAACTATAAAGACAACACTAGCACCTAGCAAGATGCTTACTATGTGATAACTACTTAATTAAAGATTGAATGAAGGAATGAATAAACACATACACTTAATCATCTCCTCATTAATCACTGTGAATGTAGACCACATAGGTCAAAGAGCTAGTAGTTTGAACTAGACTGAAAAGGAATTCTGCTCATCCTTAGCATAAATGAAGAATAGAGAGAAGGCGTATTAGGGAAAAGTTGATAAAGCTGGGCAGTCTAATAATAAGTCATCTTTAAATAATAGCTCCATTTTTTAAAAGATTTTTATTGTGGAATTGGGGGGATGGGAACAGTGCTGGGGAATTGGGGGAAGGGGAACAGACAAGTTGCTGTTGTTTTGTTCTTCAGTCTAGTTGTGGAGGACATTGCTTCACTGGCCCAAGTTGGTACCATCATTGCGCTCTTCCTGGGGGAGGCAGATCAGTCGCCGGCTTCTGGACGGCCGCTCACTGCGGCTGCTGGCTGCTCACGCTGGCTGCCGGCTACACATGGTAGCTTATGGCAGCCCACTGCAGCAGGGGACTGCAGCCTACGTCGTCGCCAGCGACCTACGGCAGCCCAGCTCCAGGTTGAGCTGTTGTTCAGCATCTTAGCTGTAGAGGGCAGTGTCACTGGCCCTCATATGTGGGATCCGAACCGGTGCCCTCTGCCATTCCAAGACAGTTCTTAACCAACGCGCCACTCAGCCAGCCCAATAGCTCCATTTTTTAATTTAAAGGGCTACATTGTATTTCCTATAAGTTATCAAACTACAGTGCATGGGCTAAACCTGGCCTATCATCTATTTTTTAAATAAAATAAAATTTTGTTGGAACATAGCCATGTCCTTCACATATGTATTGCTTGTGGCTGCTTTCATGCTATCACAGCAGAACTGAGTTCTTGCAAGAGACCGTATGACCAAGGAGACTAAAGTATTTACTCTCTGGCTCTCTTCTGAAAAGTTTTGCCAACCTCTGTCCTACAACATCATATATACCCATATCCCAAATATAAATAATATCCAAAATAAAACATGATTGAAGCTGATATTATTGATTTGTGTACTACTCCCCAACTTAGTCATGGTAACCTAAAATTGGTTAAATAATGATATACTAAGTGAAAAGTAATGCTCAATTAATGAACTATCTTTACTATATGATTCAAGACTAATTTTTATAAAATTTTGAGAATACATAAAGATGATTGAGAGAGAGATGTTTGGACTTTTGGACTATCAATAAAATCATCAAAATTTGGTTTATATTTGAATTAATTTTTCCAGGAAACTTTATCTCATTACCTATTGAGGGAAATTATTTAAAAACCCACCTAAAGACAGAAAGATCTAGAGTAAATCATTCACTAGAATGAACTGCTAGAGTATCTAAAATGTCTCCTCTACTACAAGTAAAGACAAGAAGACGTAAGACATACTATACATTATATGCGTATATTATACTCTACACTTAACGTACCACTGTATATCAAACTGAGTGTATTGTTTCTTACTATGTAGTCATAAAACATATTGTTAGGAGTGGGAATGGGGGGTGGGGAAAAGGCCTAGTGGTTCTCCATGTCATCAGCCATACAAGTTAGACATGTATTTCAAGTATCTGAATTCTCCTGTAACAACCTATTATGGGTTGGACATGCATAGATTTACATAAACCCAACCTTTTTCATTTTATATTTTCAGATGATTTCACTTCTTGGGGAAAGAGAATCCTATAATTTTACTGCCTGTAGGGTAAAGTATTTAGTCATGGTATTTGCTCAAAATTGACCTCTTTTTTAAGGCGTTGTCCACAAGTAGCTTGTTATTCACCTTTTTTACCAGACTTAGCTCTGAATGAACCGGTAATTCTTTAAAGGCACTGTCACTCACAAAGGACAATGATTTGACACCATGAGACCATAGAGAGGGGATGCCCAAAAGAAAGTGCCAAAACCCTGAGGACACTTTCAAAGAAGGTCAAATAGTAGCATTTTCAATAATAACAATATTCTTACAATAATTTCCTCAGATGACTTTTTGATGGATAGCACTTATTTGAACTCTAAATTTTAGAATGTTTTTAAAGAGAAGTCCAGTGACATTATAGTCACACCTGTACAGTGATCTTAAGTCACAATAACATTTTATTATGATTTTATATGTGTGTCTAAAAATACTACAAAAAACACAAAGTCGATATGCACAATTCTAAAATTGTATCTGGAAGTTATTTTCTTTTTAGATTCTCCATAGTAAAAATACCCCAGGACACTTACATCCTTGCCAGTCGAAGCTGTTTGACACCGTTAAGTCTCCGTACTTGACAAGACACTTGAAGCTGTGGTTGTTTTTCACATTAAAATCCAGTTCACTGCTAATAGAGTAGAGCTCAGTTTCAGGATCTTGGGAGATTGATGTGTTGCTGGCATTTAATTCTTTTCCATTTTCCAACCAGGAGAGTTGAGGCTTTGGAAAACCTCCAGCGGTTGAGCAAGTTATCCTTTTGAGGTTAGTAGATGGATTTTCAAGTTCAGTTATACTAGGAACAGGGAAGTCAGCTGGAGAAAGAACACGAATGTAAATACATATCATTATACATCTGTGTGTGTGGAGGGGGGGTATTTTTAATAAAGGTTCTAGCTTTAATAAGAATGCAAAAACGAGACACAATTTGCAACTTCCCATGTCATTAGTAGTTATGTCTAATCCAAAGACTAACTTTGATTTGAATTTTGAAATTCAAATTTGAAAACCAAATTTGATTTGATTATAGTAACTTTTCATCATTTTTGATAGAGGTAGGAGGGCACTTATTAGACAAAAGAAGTAGTTTCATGTGAATAAATATTGACATAGTACTTGCATTTGTAAGAGGTGAAGAGAAAAATAACAGACAACATTTACTGAGCTCCTAATGTTTGTTAGGTCTGAACATTGACTCATTTTGTCTTTACAACAATCCTAGGAGATAGGTTGTAGACCAAAAAAGATCAAATATCAGTAATTTCATATGATTTAATCTAATACAAATTCTATTTTATCAATATTCAAGTTGAGGTTGGATCACAACCAATAAGTGACAGAACTGGCATTTAAATTCAAGTTTTTCAGATACCAGAGGCTTCCCTTCCCTTGCCTTTTTTTTTTTTTTACTTTGTTCTCTTTCCTTTCTTCCTATTTAAAGTACACAAAGTGGCTTTCTTTTACTTATCTATTTATTAATTAATATTATTAATAATGAACACCTATGAACCCTCCATCCAACTTGAGAACCAGAACACTGACAGTAAGTTCTGGAAATCTACTTGTATGGTCTCACCAACCTGTCTCCTACTTCCCACATCTGAGGTAACCACAACTCTAACTTTTGTCTAGCATTCCTTTGCTTTTTCAAAAGTAGTCTTTTAATCAGGTAAACCTCTGTCCAACTGTACAATATTGAGCCTGTAATCTCAATCACTATCCTTTACTGATCTCCTCGCTATTCTGATATGCCTTAATAGGACAGAGAGGCCTTCCTAACAGTCCTCCAAGGTACTTCAGGCACCCTTTCTTTTGTATGTTTGAGCCCTAACAAGATATTAAAGTATATACAAAGCAAAGCATAGTGAAATGACCGCAGAGAACACATGAGAAGCTCCCCTTACCTCTCTCACTTATTCTTAGACTTGGAGAGTTTATACTTCTCAGCATGAATGTGGGGAGTCAACCCCCCTATACTTCAATCCATATTGTTAATTTTCCTTTTAGAATTCTGAGTCCCAAAGAGAGATGTAATATAGCAAAGTGGTCATCAAGAGCAGGTTTTAAAACCAGGTTTGCCTTTTAACCCTGGGCCAATTACTTAATCACTTTCAGTCTTAGTTTGCTCAACTGTGAGATGGGGATAATAATGTAAGAATTAAATGACATCATTAATATAAATTATGGAGCACAGCACCTGACACAAAGGAAGTTAGTTAATAGACTGATTTATGTGGGTCTTAAATTTGACCTCTCTTAGATGAGTTTCCTTATTTAAATCATGTTGGCAAGTGAAAGTTCTAGTACTGCCTGGTAGTACTGTGAATAATAAGGGGAAGGGGAAGCTATGACAAGTGATGATAATTGCCACAAAAGGAAAAACTTGGATTTGGTTGGAAGTGAAGTCACGTTTTTGTTTTTGTTTTTTTTGGATTAACCCTCTTCCTAAATTTGGACACTTTTCCTGAGTCATTTTTTTTAAAATAAAGATTTTATTGGGGAATTGGGGAAGGGGAACAGTGCTGGGAAATTGGGGGGAGGGGAACAGACAAGTTGCTGTCCTTTTGTTCTTCAGTCTAGTTGTGGAGGATGTCACTTCACTGGCCCATGTTGGTATTATCATTGTGCTCTTCCTGGGTGAGACAGATCGGTCGCTGGCCTCTGGACAGCTGTTCATGGTGGCTCTTGGCAGCTCACACTGGCTGCCAGCCGCTCACGTTGGCTGCCAGCCACACACAGTAGCTTATGGCAACCCACTGCAGCAGGGGCTGCAACCTACACAGCCACCGGCTACTCATAGCAGCCCAGCTCCAGGTTGAGCTGTTGTCCACCATCTTAGCTGTAGAGGGCAGTGTCACTGGCCCTCATGTGGGATCTGAACCGGGGCCCTGCTGGTCAGAGCTGGCATCCCAAGCCAGCTCTTAACCAACGTGCCACTCGGCCGGCCCATTCCTGAGCCATTTTTAATTGATATTATTATTTCCTATTCCTGTAATTTATCCTATAAGATTAAATCATTATGCTGGTAGCTAACATTAAGAATATTCCCTTTGTTTCTTATAATATCAGTATGTCATTTAGTATAACCTAGAATAACTTACCCAAGTAACTCATATCCTAAATTATGATTCGTGGGCCGGCCGAGTGGCTCGTTGGTTAAGAGTTGGCTTGGGAGTGTGAGCTCTGAGCAGCATGACCCCACAGGTTTGGATCCCACATGGGCCAGTGACACTGCCCTCTACAGCTAAGATGGTGAACAACAGCTCGACCTGGAGCTGGGCTGCTGTGAGTTGTCGGCAACAGCATAGGCTGCAGTGAAGCTGCAGTGGGCTGCCGTAAGCTACCATGAGTGGCAGGCAGCCAGTGTGAGTGGCCGGCAGCTGCCATGAGCCGCCGTGAGCAGCCGTCCAATGGCCGGCGACCGACCTGCCTCACCCGGGAAGAGCGCAATGATAGTACCAACATGGGCCAGTGCAGCAACGTCCTCCACAACTAGACTGAAGAACAAAAGGACAGCAACTTGTCTGTTTCCCTTCCCTGATTCCCCAATGCTGTTCCCTCCTCCAATTCCCCAATAAAATCTTTAAAAAAAAATGATTCTTGGGCCGGCCGAGTGGCGCGATGGTTAAGAACTCGCTTGGGATGCCAGAGGGCCCCGGTTCGGATCCCACATATGAGGGCCAGTGACACTGCCCTCTACAGCTAAGATGCTGAACAACGGCTCAACCTGGAGCTGGGCTACTGTGAGTCGCCGGCGACGGCGTGGGCTGCAGTCCCTGTGGCAGTGGGTTGCCATGGGCTACCGTGTGTAGCCAGCAGCCAGCGTGAGCGGCCAGCAGCCAGCGTGAGCGGCCAGCAGCCGCAGTGAGCGGCCGTCCAGAAGCCGGCGACTGATCTGCCTCACCCGGGAAGAGCGCAATGATGGTGCCAACTTGGGCCAGTGAAGCAACATCCTCCACAACTAGACTGAAGAACAAAAGGACAGCAACTTGTCTGTCCCCCTTCCCCCAATTCCCCAGCACTGTTCCCATCCCCCCAATTCACCAATAAAAATCTTAAAAAAAAAATGATTCTTGTCCATTTCTGTACTCTGTTTTTCTGAGAAATAGCTAGACCACAAGAATGCCACTAATGCCAGGGATTGCATTAGAAATCACCTTTTCAAGGTCTGACTTGGCTTAAAACAGCTTCAGCTCTGTATTCCTTCCCTTCTATAAGGTGATCTGTTTAAAGTAACAGAGCCTAAGGCCTTACAAGACTGTGAACCATCAAAAAATTACTCCTTTGTATCTCATTTTAATTAACCCAAGTTTTCACCACTCTTAATGGACAGAGGGAAAATATTTTATTAGAAAAGGAAGAGGTGCACAAAAGGAAAATATCCGTTAACTTAGTTGATCTGTTAACTAGTATTACTAGTTCCTCAAATGTACTGGTTAATGGAGGCTTTCATATGTTGCCACGCTGATATATCATTTTGCAATCTAGGCAAATGTAGAGAAACAAACTTGCCCTATTTAGCCTGAGATTTTCCCAGCTTTAGCACTGAAAACATTGTGTCTAAGGAAAACCTTCAGTCCTAAGAAACATGGGGCAGTTGGTCAGCTTACCCAACTGAGAGATTGTTTAATTTCTTGGTTCATATGAAGTGATCACTTCGATAAGTCTAGTACTCATTTGGCACCATACATACTTATTACAGTATTATCTTTTATTAAGAGGTTTTGTTTCCATTAAAGGCTCAAGTACTCAGGGGGAAGAGAAATGTCTTTGAATTTCAAGTGTAAGGGAACGACTCAGTGGTGTAATTTCTCAACAAGGGCTCAGGCTATATCAGTATCTTCTAGTATTATCACCTGTGAGTAAGTCAAAGTTTCTTTCTACCCAAGAAATGCTTGCCCTTCACAATAGATACATAAATAGGGATTTGATTCATGAACTATTTTTTTTTCCTGTGGCAGACATAAATTATGCATTCAGTTCTCTAACATCTAACTTTATAGGAATGACTATTAGATGGGACTTCAAATATACAATAAATACAATAGTACAGGAGCTATAATAATAGACATTCAAATACTATAGAGGGTGCAAAAAATTTATACACATTAAAAAAAAAGAAAAAACTGTATTAAAATTGTAATACTCAACATATACCAATAACAAAAGATGAATACAAGTCATGTTTGATTTCTGCAATTACAAGAGGTGCTCAAAGTGATTACCCATCAGTGTCCAGACACTTCTGATTATGGCGAACTACTGCTTGAGCAACGTTGACCAAAGTGTCCACTTGTATACATTTTTTTGGCACCCCTGGTATTTGAAAAATATTTATGCCAGCATTGTTCTTATACCTTTCAATATATTTTCACAAGAATATACTATTACTGGATCAAGGGCAGTTACTAGTATAGCTACATCAAATCAACGGAGTCCCCTAATGATGTAGAAGACACTTTAGGTCATTATAGTGCCCCAGGATGATCGTCATAAACTTGGATTGTCAAAGTGCAAGAAATGCACACTGCTAGATAGTTCCAGGACATCGTGAGAAATCAATTAGGTTTTATTGTAAAACTAGAGATTCACTTAACCCTAAGAAATAAAATGAGGTACATCCGTCTTCAGGAAAATTTTCACTTAAATCAACAGGAGTATATTTTTAAAGGCATCAGAGTCTGCAGGCTTATAGTAAGTCAGAAAATTCCACTGACCTCTAACCGATAGCATCACGGAACTCAGGTGCTCCCGTTTGTAAGACCCTGTTTTATTCTTCTGAATGACACAGGTGTATTTGCCGTTGTCCGACAGGCGCAGAGCCAGAATCACAATGGAAAGGTTATTAGAGATGTCAGTGAAGGTGCGGTTCTCATACTTGGGCCACACTTTCACGTTTCCAGAGATGACAGCCAGCACCATTTCATCATGTTTTTGCCAGTAGATGCGAACTCTCTTCAGTTCATCAGTTGAAATGTTGTAACCACAGGATAGCACCGCTACGTCTTTCACTGTCTTGGTCACCTGAGTGATGCCTAAGGAGAGTCAAACAGAACAAGATTTTATATTTATTAAATATAGATTCCTGCACAACTAAGAATTGGGAGTTGGCAGTAAAAGAACTCAGGACATTGTATCTAGTGACTAAGCATAATCAGAGAATTCAGTTTGGTTTTGATTTTTTGGTCCCCAGTCTTTTCTTTTTCTTACATTTTTAAATTGTGAGTTAAGAAATTTATAAAAATAACATAATATTTACCACCTTAACTATTTTTAAGTGTACAGGTCAGAGGTGTTTAGTAGTCACACTGTTGTGAAACGGATCTCCAGAACTTTTTCATCTCGCAAATCTGGAACTCTGTGCATATTAAACAACTCCCCTGGCTCCACTTCTGCTAACCATCACTCAACGTTCTGTTTCTATGAATTTGACTACTTTAGATACTGCGTATAAATGGAATCATGCAGTATTTACTTTTTGGTGACTGGCTTATTTCACTTAGCACAGGGGTCGGCAAACTGCGGCTCGCTAGCCACATGCGGCTCTTTGGGTACGTTCTGTCTCAAAAGTTTGCTGACGCTGGAAGAGCCAATCCTGTCCCTCACAACAATTTAAAAATTATTCGAGAGCCATAAATATATTTTTACATAATCACCATTATGTGAATAATATCCTTTA